GTGAAGTGTAGCTAAACCTAATAGTGGGGAGAAGCCATAGAGGAGCTTTTGGCACTTTGGGGTCCCCTCCACCAACCCTGCTGTGGTGAGGATGTAAAGAAAACACTGTTTCTCTCTGTGGTCCAGTTTTGATCAAAAATACGTTCTAGACAATACAATAACGGTTTTGGACTAGAGAGCAGGTATGATTAGATTGTAAGGAAGAAGGTGACCTCTCTTTTCTGACCCCCATTTGGGCTGCTGGTGAGATGTGGGACCTTTTCCTTCCCAGCTCTCCTTGCCCCTCACTCACCTCTGCTGTTCTCGCCCCTCCCTTTGGAAAACTGCCATTTTCTTCCTGAGGAAAGGATCCTTAGCACTCCTGTGTCTTGCTCAACCTCAGACACGTGCTGGAAGCTGCCACCTGGGTTCTGAAGGCAAGTGGGGAGGCCACAGCCCTCTCTCAGGGAATGCTCTCCCAGCTGGAGGAATGGGCTCTTTCCTCAGCATCTGGATAACTCTCGCTGAGAGGCAGAGCTCAGCTGCCTCTGCCTCCCCCGGGCCCCCCCCCCCCGCCCCTGACAGAGCAGCAATTTGGGCCCCACCATCCACCATTCTGGAGGGAGAGCAGCTTCTGTGGGCAGTGGTGGGTGAGCTCTGGCCAGGTCCTCTCAATCCATGGTTTCCTTTTCAAAACATAAGGATGGTAAAGAGTTCGTTTGGTCTTGCACAGGGAAGTTCCTTCACAGCCCGAGTTTGTGCGGCCTTTCTCAGGCTCCCTTAAAGCAAACTCAGCAGTTCACAGCAGCCTCTAGGTTCTTGTGGCCAGATGTCCTGATCAGCGAGTCTCAGAGCCAGGCTCCAGGGGAAGGCTGGGAGCATCCCAGCTGGAAGAGCACCCCGGCTGGGGGAGCATCCGGGCTGGGCCCCTCCCAGTTTCTCCTGCTCTCTTGCCATGTTTACCAGCCTAGCCCCACACCAGAGCCACTCACCCAGAGCACTGGGCACTCTAGGAACCTGTCTGAGCCCGTGGTTTCCCCTTATTTGAGGAACCTAATTCATGGATTAGGGTCGGCACTTATGTACCAGGGGTAAGATATCAATGGGATTTTTTGATCTGCCATGTTTAGTCCTAAATTATGGGCTCAGCAAAAGTGTGATATTCTTCAAAGATCCACTGGCAGTTGTATATGTTTATAAAGTTTATGCACATATATGATGATGTACACGGCCCCACTTGATTACATGTACAAAGTCTGAATTAAAATGAGACCGAGCTCATTGATTCAGGGTTAGGATTCAAATGGTCCTTTGGTTTGGTTTGGGCACGTTCAGCTCAGCTAAGACTCTGAACTCCACACATGGGCGTTGAGCATGGCTTTTTCTGTGCCCACTCACGGGACTCGGCTCCCACAGGTCCCGCCCTTGGCACACAGAGTAACACCCTCCACTGTCTCCTTCCCCCTGTGGACTTTTGAGCCGTTCTTTGAGACTCGTCACATATGCTTCTTGTGTGATTCTCTTTCTGCTGCAAACCCAGCGTGAATCCTCACACTTGTGCCACAGAGGAGCTGCTGTTCTAGCCGTTCCTGGCTGGCAGTTTGCTTAGGAGGATGGTGGACGCCCTGTGTCTCTCTGCAGCCACAGTGGTTAGACCTGGGTTCTGCCTGTAACGGCGCCAGGGAGACCACGTCTTCCGAAGACAGAGGGCTTCCATATCTTACAGAGCAGAGGGGTTTCCTCATCTCATTACGTCTTCTGCTGCGTTGCCCTGCTTCAGGTGAGAATAACGTTTGCTGTAAAAGCGTCGTCGCAAAGGCAGTCGTGTGACCTCTTACCTCAGCTCACCCTTTGATCTGGGGAAAGCCAATATATGTGCCACAGTTTTACTGATTAATAATAGTTGAACATACACTGAAAAAAAATCTATAAATTAGAAGTACTGAGGTGTGATTAGCATAGAAGCATGCTGGTACAATTTCTGGCTTTCTTTTTGTTCAATCCTAACTTGAGGTCAAATTAAATGAACATTAAAAGCTTTAACGGTAGGAAGATAAATGCGAAACAAACATTTTTGTGCCATAATCACTGTTACTGGAGTTAGCAACTTTCTGGTTTGACTTTATTCCCCAACTTTTGATTTAAAACAATATACAACATTCTTCAAGACTCTGCTGATGGTATGTGTGTTTAAGGTCTGTGTTATACTGTATTTGAGTATGCATACATATATCTTCGGTGTTAATTTCTACTTTTTACTTTTTGAATCCTATGTGAATGGGTGCACGTCTCTCCATGTGCCCAGCCCGTGCCCCAGCTGTGGCCAGGAGAGTGTGGATGCCCCAGGACTGGAGTCACAGATGGTTGTGAGCTTCCCTGTGGGTGCTGGGAGCTGAGTCCAGGGCTCTGGAAATAGAACATGATGAATTGAGGGTTCTGGAAAGCCGAGAAGAGGAAGAGAAGGTTTGACTCACAGGAAAGGGCTGAAGGAAACAGGAGAACTAGCTGATTAATTGATACTCGGTTACCTTAGCCTCGTTTTTGGTAAGGATTGAAGCTGAGAGAACTTTATTGTTAATGCTGACTGGCACCGGCCTTGGTGAGAGCTTGGCCTGTTGGCACTGCCAATCTGTTGGAAGTCCAGATCGCTCAGCTCAGCCTGGTGGCCTGGAACTTCCGTATGGTATAGCTGAGACTGCCCTGCTGGTGAGCAGGGAGGCAGCCTCTTCCAGGGCCTGTGGTGACTTCTCATTTTGCTCCTTAGTTGTTGCTCTTGCCCAGAGCTCTGGAAAACTGATGCCCGTCCCTTGGTTTCCGTTACAGCGACACTGAAAGCTCGGGGTTGCTGAAAGCCAAGTGTTGGCTTCTTCCCTAAGGCATATCTGTATTTTATGGTAATAATTAATTGGCATTCCTAATCTCTCAGGTGCCACACAACTTCGGACTTGCGTTAAACAGATTTACAACACTGTGATGAAATAGCTGAGGCAGACAACTATGAGGAGGAAATGTTTGATTCACTGTTTCGGGGTTTTTCGCCCGTGGCTTTAATGCACAACATCACGGCCTTAGGGCGGGTGAGGAGAGGTTGTGGCAGCGCGGAGCTGCCCATTGTGTCTTCTAGGGAGCAGAAAAGAGGAAGAACGGAGAGGCCCCGGGAGGTCAGTGTGCTGTAGGGACACAGGCAGTGAGCCAGCTTACTCCCGTACCTCTGCCCCCTGGGGGTCGCACAGCGCCCACTAGCATCTGCTGCACGGCTCAGGCGCGAAGCGAGGCGTGTGTCCTTACCTGAGCTCCCACCTGTTCCTGCTGTGTGAGTCAGCTTCACCCCTAGAACCAGCCACTTCTTGCCGGTTGTTAATCTGCCGAGTTTGCAGCAATTTCCCTTTTAAATTCATTTAGACGTTTAGGAACTCCTACAACTCGTAGCAAGTTTCATGACTCCGGTGGTGATGAAAGGCGTATCATTCAAATTTAATTGAATATAAAACATAAGTAAAACACGACATCATTTTTTTGGCATGGTCCATAAATGACCCTGGAAGGCAGTTCTGAAATAATTGTTTCAAAATGATTTGTTCCAGACTTGGTGGGTGAACATTTAATTGTTCAGGTTAGTGCTTTGTGGATATCGCCTGGGTTTTATAGGTCTCGATTATGGCTTGGGTTTGTGTTGGTTCTCTATGGCCCCATTTACATTAAGACTTTGTGGATAACAGCGATGTGTTTACAGCGAAATACTGACTGTGAAGGTACTGCCTGAGTTCAGTGCTGCCTGGCTCTGCCTCCTTCCAGCTGTCTGACTGTAGGCAAGTTCACTCTTCCTGTGCCTCAGTTTCCTCATTTATAAAATGGAAGTGTGGAGAGTGCCTGCCCCCATAGGAGCAGATGAGGGCTTGTACCTGGCAGAGTGAGACAGGTGCCTCAGGAGTAGTGGGCTAGTGACAGCAGCTTTCTGGCCACCAGAAGCCCTCAGGGAGCCTGGGACACAAATCAGACATTTGCATTTGAAAGGGTTAGGGCAGGCAAGGTTTCAGGAATTGCTCAAGTCAGCTATGAAAAAGGTGCCCAAAGGGAACGTTTGTTAGTTATCTGTAAAGCGAGAGAACACCCAACAAACACCTTCAGCGTTTGCAAGTAAGAAAATCACAACGACTGACTGGCAGAAGGTGCTGTGAGTCGTCAGATGGCTTACAGATGGGTGGGAAGTGGCTCAGCATGCCTGAGGAGGTGCGTTCAGAGACCCGTGCTCACACGGAAAGCTCCGCAGTCCTGGTGCTGAGGCAGACCCAGCAGAATCCCCGGGGTCTCTGGCCAGCCAGCCTGGCTATGTTGCCAAGCTCTATACAGAGAGACCCTGTTTTCAAAAATGAGATAGAGAGTGACAGAGACACACCTGATGTTGGCCTTTGATGTGCACACACAGGCACACATAAACACATACAGCATGAGCATGTATTCACATAGAAAGAAAGTATTTACGACGAGATTATTGCCTTTCAAATGCTCAATGTCAAAGTCAATGAAATGGAAATCTGTGCCCATAGCTGTCAGTTTCGGCCTGGTAAGTGCAGGCTGTGTGAATAAAGACCGCAGCTGTGGAGCTGGGATCACAGCAGTACGAGAAAGCCTTCTGGAGCACGAAGCCCTGGCCGTGCAGCAGGGGCCTTCCTGTGATTCCTGCATTCCCCTGCTGCCTGCAGTGGCTGACTTGCCTGTGGAGTTTAAGGTGCTTCAGGGAGGTTCATCTTCCTGTATGCCGCGGCCAGCATTCCTGGGCGCCACCTCCATACATTCAAGACAGGGATTTCCCAGCGCATGACAATGGCGATTCTTACGTATTAATTACTTGTTCTTAGCACATGTGGACGTGGCTTCCTTGAATGTGGCTGATTACTGTCAGCCCAGCACCACGGAAGACACACACAGAAACTGACACAGAAACTGACAGACAGAGCAACTCCCAAGCCCGCCCCTGGAGAAGGGCGAGGAGACATTAACCCCTTGTGTTCTTCCTGCAGCTGGCCCGTCACAATAAGCTGCTGCAGCAGATGCTCAAGCCTGGATCTGACCCCGAGGACGGTGATGAAGCCTTGAAGTATTACGCCAACCACACAGCACAGATCGAGGTAACTGCCTGTCCCCCCCAGGAAGGGCCCAGCGGGGGAAGGGTGCGCTTCCACCTCCGACCGTTTCCGTGACTTTTCTGTGAAGTGTGAACTAATTCCAGATGATTTGAATGGAAAGGCCTGTCCCATAGACTGACACCTGAGAGCCACAGGCAGAAACTGAGTCTGTCCATCTTGCAGTCTTTTCTCTCCCCAGAACACTCTGAAGTCTTTGAAATGCAGAGGGAAAAGCTTTTCTCTTGTTTGGGTCACAGAATCAAATAAGGTAGAGCTCTGGTGTTTAGAGATGAGATAATCATTTGACACTGTCCCTTCTGGACTGTGGTGGCCTCTTACACCAGAGTGTGAAGGCAGGCGCTGGTGGCGCGTCTTCCCTCCCAGAGCATAGGAGACAGAGGCAGGCCAGCCAGAGCTACATAGTGAGGCCTTGCTTCCAAAAAAGCAAAATGAAAGTGCGTGACAGTGTAGAAAACGGGGACAGCACTGATTAAGTGCTCCTATTGGTGTCACCTACCCTGTCCCATAAAGGGGATGTTATCTGATGTCGGATGGCAGATCAGGAGGTGTGCCTGGGGACCCATCTGGCTGTCCATGCTGGCTGGGCATGATTGTGACGCTTCCTGGCAGAGCCAGTCAGGCAGAAGTGATCGGAGAGGTGGCTGCTTGCCGCTCCTGATTTGTGGCCACACGCTCATTCAGTCCGGCGGATGGTTTTAGCGCTCAGCAGAGTATCACAGGCTCTACTGCTCTGCAGCGGGCAATTTCTGTGTTCTTGTTCATTTCTGCCAAATCTTTGAGCATTAGTAAATATTATTATCACCTCAGCCAAGGGTGGATGCTCTGCTCATGAGGCCAGCACCAGCAGGGCCACAGTGTGCTGTGACACTTGCCTAACACAATGACTGCAGTAGTGGGTACTGTGGAGAGCAGTCGCTTGTGGTGCTCAGCTTAGTGATCTGGGAAGGAGGACGGTGCTCAGGCCCCATCGCCACCCAGGAAGGAGCCCCTGCGGTCCAAACCTCATTTCGCTCCTCCACGAGTCTCGCTTCTTCAGCTGGGAGCATATTCAAGTGAAGCAATTGGTCTTTGGAGAGATTTATGTATCTGTGACACACACATTAGACCATTATCCACCTTGCCCATTGTTTGTTCCCCTCAGGAAGGTAGCAGCTTAGTGCTAACGTGTGTGTGTGTGTGTGTGTGTGTGTGTGTGTGTGTGTGTGTGTACAGATGCACACATGTGTATGTGCACAAAGAGGCCAAGGGTGGTACCAAGAGTCATCCTCCATCATCCTTGGTCACGGGGGCAGGGTCTCAGTTGAACCCAGAGCCTGCTAACATGGCCAGTTGTGCTAACCAGCTTGCTCCAAGGACCCGCTGGTTAGCTTCCCAAGGCTGGGATTACAGGGAGGCTGGCACGCCCACCCACACTCAGTGGGTGTGTGGGGGTCTGAACTCCCACCCTCATCTTTATTTTACGTGGCAGGTGCTTTAGCCGTCTGCACAGGCTTTGGCTCTAAGGTTTGAAGAACCCACACCAGGCTTCTCACTTCAGCCCCTTCTATCTTGGGGATCTGTTGTTTTGTTCACCTTCAGTTCCACGGTGCTCCTCAGCTGGGGCCCGAATAAGCATTTGTTGAATAATCTGGGGAAAATTAACCATATTTGGCTTCCTTTGGTTTACGCATTTCCTGCAGCAGTTTTCTGCTCTGTCACTGCCTTTCGTGAAGTGTGACAGCCAGAATTAAACATGTCATTTTATGCAAGGACTGAATATTTTGGCTTATCTAATCACAGCTTTATTTCTTTAATAAGCCCTAAGAATTCTTTTTTTTTTTTTTTTTTTTAATTACTTGTCTCTGTTGGAGCAAGGGCACCTTTTAAAATTCTTTTCATGTGGTTGCTTCCATACCAAATATGTCTAAGTAGTTCGTGCAATTGGTACTTTAATTACTTTTTAAATCAGCACATAAAGGAGCTGGAGAGATGGCCGGCATAGCTCTGGCTGTGGTCACAGAGGCCTGTGTTCAGTTCCCGGCACCCACCTTAACTCCCCATCCAGGATCAAAATCAACTAGGGAAGAGAGTTTATTTTGGCTTAAGGCCCCGGGGGGGGACAGTCCACAGGGCAGGGAAGGCACGTGGCAGGACCGTGAAAGCAGCTGGCCGTGCTTTATTCATGCCCTGGAGGGCAGGGGACAGGGAGCAAGACTGCAGATCCTCAAAGTGGCTGCCAGTGACATACCTGCTCCAGCATCCTGCACCTTCTAAAGGTTCCACAGCCCCAACACCGTGCCACCAACCAGAGACCACGAGAGACAGTTCTCATTCAAAACACCACACTGTAGGGAGGAGAACACTTAATGACAAAACGTGCCTCTCTGTAGATAGAGGGCTCCATACAGCGACACACGGTGCTTAACTGTGTCATTTGCTCCCTGGGAGAAACAATGCATTTAGGAAGAACTGGGCACAGATCCTTAAGTACTAGGTTCAAGGTCACCTTGCTGGTTCATTTTTTCCTCTTTGGATTCACAAAGTATCTCTCATAAACTCACTGTCCTACCTTCATGTCTGCTGCTGTGATAAAATACTCTAAAAGGCTGTGTGTGTGTATGTGTGTGTGTGTGTGTGTGTGTGTGTGTGTGTGTGTGTGTGTTGGGGGGATTGATTTGGCTTCCGTCTCTAGGTCATACTCTGTATCATTGGGAGACACTAAGGCAGGACCCTGGTGGGAAGCTACAGAAGAAGGCTGTGTGCTCTGGGCTTCGCTTAGCTAGCTTTCTGATGAATTCAGGACCCCATGCCCAGGGATGCTGCTGGCGTGCTGGGCTTGGATTATCTCACCAATAATCAGGGTGATTGATTCCCCACCAGATTCTTTCCTGCCTGGGCTGTGTCAGGCTGACAGAGCTAGCAAGGAAGTGATCCTAAGACCGGGAAACAGGCGCAGGATCCAGATGTCCCCTAGTGAGCCCACCAGGTGCTTCTGGGTAGTGCACAACCCGGAGGCACACAGATGGCTGCAGTTAAAATCTGTGTATGTGAGTGGGCGGAGGCAGGAACCAAAATGTGTAATATATACGTGCATGAAATTGTCAAAGGACAAAATTTATTGATTAAGAAAAAGGAAGTTAAAAATCGAGTCTGGCGCTGAGGTGTGCAAATGGCTGAAAACAAATGCCATCCGTTTCCAGATTGTGCGGCACGACAGGACGATGGAGCAGATTGTATTCCCCGTGCCCAACATCTGCGAATTCCTCACTCGGGAGTCCAAGTACCGAGTGTTCAACACGACAGAGAGGGACGAGCAGGGCAGCAAGGTGAATGACTTCTTCCAGCAAACAGAAGATCTGTACAACGAAATGAAGTGGCAGCGGAAGATCAGAAGTGAGTGTGAAACACAGGCGGTGGGGGGGCACGCGGCCCTTCTGTGGCTGGAGCCATGGCGCATGCGGCGTGGCTCGGGACGCTGCAGCTGAGCCTGCTGTCGCCAACAGTCAGAGCAGGGGGTGGCAGCATCAGCGCCCTCGCACCCCGTCTCCCCTCCCCCACCCGGGACTCTGGTGTGTAGACAGGGTCTCCCAGCCCGAATCCTCAGGTTCTCCCTGCATCCACAGACGGCTCTGCCTGGCTGATCGTGCCTCCACCTCTCAAGTGCTATTCAGCGTTCTTCTGGAGTTGCTCTTTCTTCCTCCTTTCCTTTCTCCCCCCCCCCCCGTAATCCAGCAATCAAAACTTTGCAGACCCCTGTAATCAGAGAGCGCCCGACACTGCAGTCCGAATGTCCCCACCCCTCTCTCTCTAACACACCTCTCCAGTGTCTTTGGAAACACTGAGTTTGAAATTTTTTTTTTAAATTTAAAGTTGTAAATCATTTAATGAGAGTGGGGATGGCCTAGAAGCTCCCTGGACCCTGGGTTCCAATCCCAGCGCCCACACAGCAGCCCATCTGACTCCAGTTTCAGGAGATCTGACACCCTCTTTTGGCCTCAGGGTACCAAGTGTGCACAACATCCACAAGACGCTTGTGTGAGTGAAACACTCATTCACGCACATAAAATAAGCCTAAATGTAAGGAGTCATTTTAAGGTGTTTTCCTAGATAGCAGAAATTGAGGAGGGATTGAGAAGCCCTGAGTAGTGGCTGTGTCTGTGTTTGGGAGACGTTCCCAGTCAGGTGGGTTTGTGCTACCTGTCCCTCAGCATTCAGGCTCTTTGCTGAGAGACTAGAGAGGAGTGGAGGTGGCAAAGGCTCCTTTGGGTACAGGATGATGTCGTGCAGGTTTGGATTCCTAAGACAACGTTGCTCTTTAGAATTCTACCACATAGAACTGGGCAGAAAAACAGGGCATCTAATACATGTGGAATATTCACAAATTTTATCTGAGATATCTGAAAAACATTAATTTTATCCATGAAAAATTAATTGAACACCAAGCTCAAATTAATTTAAAGTTAATTGAATAACAAACTGGAACTCTAGGAGCTATGTCTTCTGACATGTTTTTGTTTGTTTTTTGAGACAGGGTTTCTCTGTAGCCCAGGCTGCCCTGGAGTTGCTTTGTAGACCAGGCCAGTCTCAAACGCATAGAGATTCTCCCGCCTCTGCCTCTGGGAGTGTTGAGATTAAAGGTGTGTGTCACTGCATCCACTGCAATATTTGATTTTTTGTCAAAAAATAAAACTGAAAATGATTCCCAGTGACACTGTATGGTAAATTTTAGGAGCAGCTGATCACAGGGTGTAGCTGGATGTGGAGATTTGGAGGGCTTTTGCACACGAAGGCGTGATGGTGGTGCGGGTCTACAGTGTCTACAGTTCGTAATCACTGCCCAGGGAAATGCCGTTCTCTTCACACCGCTCCTGCTGCGGAGGAAAATGAACCCAACGCAGAAGGGATACAGTCTGGTCGCCAGTAGCAGCCCCAGGAAGAGGCTTGGGGTAGAGCCAAAAAGTACACGATTTTTGCTTTTCTATGCCTCGTCCCACTGGCTCTGATATTTTAGGTTTACAATTTTAATTCTGATTTTAATTCTGTATATACTTATTGTAGGCTTCTGCACATGTGTGTGGCGCCTGCAAAGGCCAAGAAAGGGTGTCATGGCTGGATCTGGGGTCCCAGGAGATTGTTACCTGCGTGATGTGGGTGCCGGGACCTGAACTGGGTTTTCCGTGGGAGCGGCACCCGCTCTCAGCTGCTGAGCCAGCCCCAGCCCCAACTCTGGATACCCTAATCTTTTAGGCTGTGTCAGCTGAGACAGGCTTTTATGTAGCCCAGGCTGGCTTCAAACTCACTGTGTAGCTGAGGCTGGCCTTCAACTACTGATCTTCCTGCGTTCACCTCCCAAATGCTGGGGTTAGGAGCAATCCCCACCACGCCCACCCCCCTCCGGTGTTTCAGTCCTATATCAAGATAGCACAAGTGGAGTAACAGGCTAGCCTCACAGGAGCCCTGAGGCGCCTGGAGCAGGCCACTGCATAACTTCTCTGAACCACTCTGTGTTACAGGTGTGCTCAGTTATTTAGGAGAGGTGGAAAGAACTGAGCTGTTGAGCACTGGTGGTGGTTCACTGACTCCTGACGGCAGCCATGGAGTCCCTTTTCTGGAAATACTCAGCAAAGCTCCCACGTATTGGCTTCCTGCCATAGGCTTTCCCTGCTGCTTCAAACTCAACACGTGGTTAGAAGCATCGTCATTTAAAACATAGATCACATTATAGCATTTTAAAAGGCCTCACTGTATAACCGAGGCTGGCCTCGGATTCCCAGGTAGCTTCCAGACTCACAGGCCCCCTCCTGCCTCCGCCTCGTCAGGTACTGAGGCTGCAGGCCCGATAAGCCGTTCAGGCACCGTGCACGCTGTGTGGTGGTGCCGAGACGCGGGCTGTCGGCTGACTGTGACTGTGCAGGCTCTGCAGCAGGGTACACCCGAATCCGCAGGCCTGGCCTTTGTGACTTTGCATCCTAAGGATAAGAGCACTTTATCCGTCAGCATTATCAAGTTCCACAGCACGAACATGCCCTTCGGTAAAGGGGCCCGGGGACCGCTGGCTGCCTCCCCTGACCTGCGTGGTTCAGATGCGAGGGCTTTACCACAGAATTGGCTTTGCCGGCTCTCCCGAGGGATGCCTTTACCATGTGATAATACGCTTCCTAAAATGAGTGACAGTCACCCCGGAGGTGCTCGTGTGACAGGTTGCAGGTGCGTCGTGCACACACACTCGCATTTGGCAGGGCTCGTGCGTTGAAGGTGGCACACACTGACCTTTCTTGCCCTTGCGCTTCTTGCTCTAGACAACCCCGCCGTGTTCTGGTTCTCCAGGCACATCTCTGTCTGGGGCAGCATCTCCTTCAACCTGGCTGTGTTCATCAACCTCGCGGTGGCTCTCTTCTACCCATTCGGGGATGACGGTGATGAAGGTAAGTGTCTGTCCCTCTGCCTGTGATGATGCCTGAGAACCACCAAAACTCAGACAGCATTCCCTAGGGCTCCAGAGCTTCAAAATGACAACGCTCGCTTCTCATTGACACTTTTCCTGTGTGTATTGGGAGTATGGAGCTAGTAAGTAGAGTAGATGGGAAGCTGTGGCCAGCGAAATGTTGCAGACATTTCTGAGTAGCCTGACTACTGGAGGAAAGTGTTGGAAAGGAAATGGAGTGATTGTGTTGGTTCCACCTAATTAGTGTGAGCAAACGTATTTTATACTGCATTATCTCAGTTAGGCAAGTGAGAGTCTTAGGCCCAAGCATTTTGATGAAATAGTGACAAGTATATTTTACTTTCTGTCTTTTCCGGGGGTTTGTAATAAACACACCTGCAAAATAAATGTTTAGATTCTATAATACTGTGCGTTTATAATATTCGTAATCAGTCTTAGAAATACACAGCCTGAAATGGACTGTGATGATGGATGACGAAGGGTCTCGACTGTGAAATCGGTGTCATTAGACTAATAGTCCTGAGCTTTCACAAAGGCGAAGATGGAGGAAATTTGAAGAGAACTGGGAAGTTCTATAGAAATAGGGTGGAGATTGCAGAAATGTCTTGTTTAGGTCTGGCAGATGCTTGGGAAAATTTCATTATGGGCATGGGCTATAATTGGGAGTGTAACTTTGGAATGGGTGAAAGAAGGGGTTGGAGGCAGACACTAAAGAAATCAGCAGATGATAACCTCAGAGTGCCCTCCTGGCACATAGGAAAATGAGATGCCATCAGCAGAACACTCGGAGCAAGTCCTGACTGTTTGACACAGAGTACTGGGTATAAGGTAACTGCGGTCACTGCCATCTAAGGGGAGATAGGAGAGACAGTACCATAACCACAACAGACATGTAAGCAAATTCTAGATGAACTGGAACTGAGGAGGAGACACGGGACCCAAGAGCAACTTACTGTGTTCCAGTTTCCTCGTCAGGTCCCACGGGTGCCGAAGCGTTCATCTTGGTTGTAGGTTGAGCTGGCTGAGTAGCGCTTGCTGTGTTCTGGAAAGCACAGCAGCAATCGGGAAGCTTGGACAGCAGAGCAGGCATGTGACTGCATAGCAGGAGAAAGGAAACACACGTATTCATCCATCACACAGACGGAAATGCGAACACCTTTCTCTCCCCTGGGTCTGGTCTTCTTTGGTGATAGACGCAGAGGAGCACAGCTCTTGCACACAAAATGCTCAGACCCCTGAGGAAACACAACAGGGTTCCAGTAAAGAGAGCAGAGTCTTCAGAATGGAGGTGGATCTGGAAATCGTCTCATAGAAGCTTGCATTCGACAGAGGAAATGGTGGGGAGTGCAGAGAATACCCCGGCCTCTGAAAGAAGCGGCTCTAATAAACAGGAGGGCAGGGGAAGCCCAGTGTTCCTCTTGGCAGGGTGCAGATGTAAACACTCCTGAAGAAGTGTCTTTGAGGCAATGGTAGTAGCAAGATGGAGGGTCAGCCCTAGGGTGCCAGAGGGTGGCTGTTTCTCAGAGGGAAGACAGAACATAAGCATAGGGGTGCCATAGGCCCCCAGGTGAGTGGAGTCACAGTCACGTGATTACAGTTTGGGTGTGTTAGCTGGAGACAACTTCACCAGTAAGGCTCAAGTCTCTAAGCCTTGGCCACACTCCGTGCAGGGCCAGGAAGGCGCGGAAACTGTGCCATGGCTGCATAGGTGCACAAGGCTGCAGGCGTTGCCGGGGAAGGAGACTGCTGTGTGCTGGCGACAGCGCTCTGTGCTGGGCTTTCCAACTGTTCTTCAGGCCTATGTTGAAAGTGTCTAAGGATGGACTGCATGAAAATCAAAGTTCTCTCTTTGGAGGACTTGATGCTGACCGGGCAGGCACAGACACTCCCATGGGAGCAGCAGCGTGTTATAAAGTGTGGCTCCGCTGCCCACGCGGCCCCTCCCCCCACAGCCCCACCCCATGCTGCCTCTGTAGCTCTGGGACTCCAGCCTGCTCACCTTTCTTGCTGGGGTTTTCGGAATCAAATTCAGATTCGCATGCTCATAAGACAAGGACTTTCCAGGTGTGGCTCTCTGCCCAGCTCCATAACACTTTTATTTCCTGGTGATTAAATGGCCCTAACATATTTTTGGAACTTGAGTGAGTCTTCAAGTATACACGTTCATATTCCTCATATGTAGACCCGTGTATATATATCTTAACACGTAAAGCTTACTCGTGTGTAGATACGTGCACATGTGTTTTAACACTTAAAGTGCGCACCTGTGGATATCTGTCCATGTGTTTTAACACCTGATGTACTCATGTAAGTATGTGTACATGTGTTTTAACACTTAAAGCATATCTCTTTTATAACAATAAGTGTTCTACAAGTTGGGTTCTTTCTGTGTTTTGATTTATCTGTTACTGTGTGTGCATGCCTGTGTGTGGAGGGCAGAGACAGGCAGGTCCCTGGGCTCTCCGGCTAGGAGGTCTAGCTGAACAGGTGAGCTCCGAGGAGCGCTGTCTCAGAACGTGAGGTGAAAGATGTCATGAGCAAGAATACCTGCGTTGTCATTCTCGCTGCCATAGTCATGCGTATACATTTACACACTCACCCACACACATGTACCTGTGCCCCCAAACAGGCACATACACATGCATGCACACACAAACACACAGGAACATGCACACACATGCACAGAGGCAAAAAGAAAAGTTTCCAATGAGATTTAAATGAACTATATTAACAACCATATTCCTTAGAAATTTCTCACAGGGAGGCTTAGAAATCTTTAAAAAGATGAGCAGGTCTCTGACGTGTGCACTGATGAATGTAGTCAGAGGCCCTTCTGGTGCTGCTCCTGCAAAGCAACTGGGGGCTGCATGTTGCTGCCTCGACTGACGGGTACCAGGACCTTCCAGTCACGTCTGCAGGGTGACATGGGCAGGAGGAAAACATCAAACTGAAGGTTCCCCACAATGTCCTTTGCCAAATAGTCCATAACGATGGCTTACTTGTTCACCCACACCTATTTTTACCATAAATCTGACTTCTGATACCAAACGCCCTGAGTGCTCTCATGAGCAAAGCTTTGGGGTTAGCACCAGAGCCTTGGGTGACGAGTGCATCTCCTTTAATAAATGTATTCACTGAGGGTGATGCATCTAAAGACTGCAGAGGTTCTGTCAGATGCTTACAACAATCCATGAGCAGTAATTTAGGCGTGCTTTGAAAGCCTGGCTCTGTGCATGCTATCTATTGTGGCTTGGGTATGGTTTGACTGTGTTCCCAAAGGCTGCTGGACGCCTTTGTGCAGTACAGGCTGTGTGGCCCTTGTGCAGTATGGCGGAGGCCGTGGACTCTTCAGGACGTGGAGTCAACAGCAGGAGACCAGATTTCAGCGGCACTCCTAGGGGTTTCTCCTCTGCTGGGTGGCTTCTCCAGATCACACTCAAGCCACTGAGCTTGGTGGCCAGGACCTTCACCTGCGAGCAGTCTTGCTGGCCCCAACTGGATTCTTATGAGGAATCCATAGTATGACAATTTGGCACTAATAGAAAAGGGAAATGATGAGTTAATGAAGCACTCTACCTGATTTTTCATGACCATTAATCCTGAACTTTGACTCGAGGTGCCCAAGTGAAACATACCTATCAAAAGCTTTTCACAGAGCTCCCACAGGAGAGAGAGTTAAGAGTTCTCAGACCTGATGCAAAGAATGCTAAGAAGCATTTATGTAGCCTGAAATCAGCCCAATGCCTTCTGGAAGTGTAACGAAGAGTGATGCATTCTAAAATGGTTCCTCATGGTAGAGTGTTGAGTGGGTCATTCTGAGATTCTGTGTGCTGTGGCTTTGCTGTGAAGCACAGAGGCTGAGATTTCAGCGTTTCCTCCGTGTTCTTGCTGACAAGTAACCCGTGCACATTCTCCAGGTACACTGTCCCCGCTCTTCTCGGTCCTGCTTTGGATAGCCCTGGCAGTCTGCACGTCTATGCTGTTCTTCTTCTCCAAGCCCGTGGGCATCCGGCCATTTCTTGTGTCTGTCATGCTCAGATCCATCTACACCATTGGCCTGGGGCCGACGCTCATACTTCTCGGTGCTGCCAATGTAAGTACAGGGCTCAGCTTTGTGCCGTGCGGGGTTTTGACGCAGTGAGTGTAAATATGGTCTGTGTGTGTTTATTTGTGTACACAGTGGATCGATGTCAGCAAGAGTGTCGTTCCTGTATGCGCTAATGCATAGAGAAGGAACAAAAAGATGAGGACACACTGATACATGTAAGGAGCCTTGCAGTGCGGCCCAGTTCTGCCGTCCATTTCATCAGCTTTAACGTTCTTTCTGTGCCATAACTGCCATAATCGGAAAAAAGACCCGCCACTGTTCATACCTGAAAGTACCTTCAAAATCACCCCAAAAGATTAAGTTACAGTCAATAGAATTTAAGAAGTACCTTCTATCAAGTAAGTTAGGAGGGGGGGAAAGACTGCTAGATAAAAAATAAGATGCAAAATTGCACTCCTTTTATATGAGAGAATCCTATAAACTTGTAAAAGACATGGGTGAGATGGTTTTTCTTTTTCCCCAAGGTTCAGTACATTTGCACAAGAAAAATGTCTTTTGTAAATATAGAATGAACAAACTGGGAGTATCATGCCAAGAAGCAAATGAAAGATTTGTAGAATAATTTAAACAAACAAAAGCTTTGAAGGGACCCTGTGCTAATTGTATGTAAGGTATCTGTAAATGGATATAAAGAAAAAGTAAGTCATCAAACTGATGAAATAACAACTGGTCAAACATCACATAAATATTGTTATTATCTACCTGATTAATAACTATAGCATTCCCTGTGACTTCCGCTGTTCCTAACTCAGTGCCCTGTACCCTGTATCTGAGCTGGATTATCTCCTTTACTACTTTTTATAGTTCCTGAGGATACTAATTGATTGACAGATCCCTGGGATATCACAGGAAGTCTATAAATGTTTTTAAATAAATCAGTGACTGAATGGGTGAGTGGCCAATATTCACTAAAAATAAATAAATTAGTTCACCAACTTTTACAGATACCAAGATGAGGCAATATAGTCAATTCTGTGTTTTCAGTGTTTCTGACTTTGAATTTTATCACACTTCTGCAAATGTTGGACAGTATTCCCACAGCTCCCAGTTGTTAGAATATAAAAAACAAAAACAAAAACAAATTCTCAGTTACAGTGAAGGAAAGTATACAGAAAGTCTGTGAGCAGAGGTTTTGGAGAGGACCAGATGCACCTGCTTGAGCTCCATGGGGGCTGAGCGGCCACACTGCTGCACAGATCAGCCCTTCCTCATCCCTGTGCCCGAGTTTCTATGGAATCTGTTCCTGTTCTTGCCCATTCAGTGGTGCTGTGCCACCCATCCCTTCTGGCTCACTCCCACCTCCGTTTCCCTCATCCAGCCTTGACACATGAACATGCAGAGGTGATTTCATGACCTGAGCTTGCACTGTCTTTGCTTCAAGAGTAAACTGATGTTGTCATCCATCAACCAGGATAACTAGAGGGTCACCATGAATGTGCATAACTTCATCTACTCCTCTGCCTTTGGCTTATTTTGTTTCTCTGGAAAACATGTTGAACATGAAGCTCTATTCTTTGAAGAAGTGGATGTCATTCATAAACTGATCATTGACTTTCAATAAGGCATTATTCTAAGTGAGAAATGTGAAGACCCAGGCAGAATTGTGCTCAAAATAACAAGTGGCTGCTGCACCTGTTACATAATACGAAAGCCATTTAGAGCACCGAGGGGAGAGGGAGGGCACGCAGCTGCCATCTGAGATTTCTGTGCCGTCTTCTCTTTCTGTCTTCCTCCCTCTCTCTTTTTTCCTTCCTTCCTTCCTTCCTTCCTTCCTTCCTTCCTTCCTTCCTTCCTTTCTTCTTTCCTCTCTCTCTCTCTCTCTCTAAGAGTATGTAGACAGAGGTGAGGAGTAACATTTGAATGTCTGGGGTGGGGGTGAACTAAAACATCTGGTGCTCTTTCCCTGCCTCTTGAGGACACCTATAAAGTGATAGCTCCATGTGGTTTGGTAAGAATCATTCCACCATAAAAATATTCTCTACCAAAGCCAGGTTTATATTTAACTGCTTTATGAGACAGTATTAAGCATGTAGACATGTCTGTCTTACTAACTCTGTGGATCTTCCAGTATTTCAATAGCAGAAAACATGTTACTCAGCCAGATGCTACCACCAGCCTGGGACCATTTGACCAAAGAAAATAATCTATGTTGATATGAGACAAATTTAATAATGTTACTATAATTTAATACTACTGCAGATGCTAAAAGTTTGTATCTATAGTTGTGTTTGGTATTATGTAGGTTAATAAAATTAGTGGATTACCATCTATTCCCTCGTCACATAAACTCATTACCCAAGTAATGAGAGAGGAAAAGTCAAATAGGAATGTAAATTATATCTGTGTACCTTAGGTTTTAATATATTAGTTGATTTAATTTGTACATAGATATTTGCATTATGTAGCAGGTTAGGGTGTTACTGCTAAACTTTATAGATATCAGAATAGAAAAACCAAAAGAAAACATTAGCCTGATAGTTTAGCTATAGCAAGAAGCAGAATTTGAGACCAGATACAAATGAGCCAAGCTCTGACTTTATCCTTCTTGTGAGGGGAGTTAAGGTGTGGACACGGCTCTACTCTCAACCGGCTGCCGAGCCCAGTTGAGAATTGTGCTGTAGAAGACCCAGAAGACGGCAGCTCATGTTACACAGTGGTGATGATACAGTGTCAGAGTACCTGATATGCAGATCACTAATGAATCAGAAAGTGGTCCCACGCCTCTGTCTGCATCTTAGCTCACATAATACTCTGCCCCTCACAGTGGTAAGGAAACATGAACAGACTCCTCTTTTTTTTAAGTAAATTTGTATTTTTTATATGAATTACAGTTTAGTCACTTTGTATCCCTGCTGTAGCCCCTCCCTCATCCCCTCCCAATCCCGCCATCTCTCTCCCTCATCTCCTCCCATACCCCTCTCCAAGTCCACTGATAGGGGAGGACCTCCTTCCCTTCCCTCTGACAGTAGCCTATCAGGTCTCATCAGGAGTAGCTGCATTGTTTTCCTTTGTGGCCTGGTAAGGCTGCTCCCCCTCAGGGGGAGGTGATCAAAAAGCCAGCCACTGAGTTCAAGGCAGAGGCAGCCCCTGTTCCCATTACTAGGGAACCCACTTGAAGACTGAGCTGCCATGGGCTACATCTGTGCATGGGTTCTAGGTTATCTCCATGGTCCTTGGTTGGAGTATCAGTCTCAGAAAAGACCTCTGGGCCTAGTCTCTTCTACAGAAAGGATTCATAACACAGAAAAGACCTTAGCATTTATTGGTTTTTAGTTTATTATGATGAAATTTAATTTCTTTGTGAAGCTTTAAGTTTGTCTAGGTTTCAGTTAGATGTCCTATCACAAGTGTCTCAGGAAATCCAGTAATTTCGAGTGCCACCAAGTACATCTTACACAGTTCTCTTCTACACTGGTGGCGTCTTTACCAATGATGGCATAGTTAGCATTCTGACAGACACAGCGGCACATTCTGTAAACCTGTGACCACTTACGTTTGTTCACGTCGCTGAACATTTATACAGACTGAGCATTTCCTGTTGGTTAAAGAGATCTCTGATTTGTTACATGGACACCATATCTTCCTTAGCTGCTCCATTTATCTTTGTGGCCTAGAGTCTTTGTAATAAAGAGAAACGCAGTAAATATCAGAAATATTTTCCTTCTGATGCTAGGAACTGAACCCCGGGCCTCACATATACTAGGCAAGTACTCTACCTCTGAGCCACACCCACAACTTAAAAAAAAAATTTTTTTTTCTTCATTAATTTATCTATTTATTCACTTTACATCCCCCTTGCTCTTCTCCCAGTTACACCCTCACTCGCCCCTCCCCGATTCTCCCTTCTCTGAGAGGAGGCTCTCCATGAGTACCAACCCACCCTGGCACATCAAGTCACAGCGGGACTGGGCGCACCCTCTCCCACTGAGGCCAGACAAGGCAGCCCAGCTAGGGAACAGGGATCCAAAGGCAGCAGCAGAGTCAGAGACAGCCCCTCCTCTAGTTCTTGTGGGTCCCACATGACGGCCAAGCTGCACATCTACATATGTGTAGGAGGCCTAGGTCCAGGCCATGCCTGCTCGTTGATTGGTGGTTCAGGCTCTGTGAGCCCCAATAAGACCTGGGTTAGTTGGCTCTGTGGGTCTTCCTGTGGGGTCTTTGACCCTTCCGGCTCCCTCAATCCTTCCTCCCACTCCTCCACAAGACTCCCTGAGCTCCGCCTAATGCTTGCCTGTGGGTCTCTGCATCTGTTTCCATCAGCTGCTGGATGAAGCCTCTCAGAGGACAGTTATGCTCGGCTCCTGTCTGCAAGCATAACAGTGTATCATTAACAGTGTCAGGGGTTGGCTCTCTCTCATGGGTTGGGTCTCAAGTTGTGCTAGTCGTTTGGCCCTTCCCTCACTCTCTGCTCCATCTTTATGCTTGGGCATCCTGTAGGCAGGGTACATTTTGGGTGGAAGGTCTCCTGGGTGGGCTGCTGTCCCCTTCCTCCACTGGAAGTCCCGCCTGGCTGCAGGGCGTGTGAAATGTCTTTAAACATCATCTAAAGGCTTCTTGCCTACAGCATTTTCCCCCTTCCTTATAATGACTGGGAAGGTATGATTCACTTAATGGTGCTAGCCTTTCTCCACTTACTGTAATGTGGAAACGCTAGAATTTGTTCTACTTTGCACAGAGGAAAAGCAAATAAGGCTTTATTAGAGAGCCAGGCTGTTCACAGTACCACAGTGCTCAGCTGACTGCTGTGCTGTTCTAGCTGTGCATCTCTACTTTTATGGGTGGCCACATGCCACTGTTAATTCATAGGACCGAGTCCTGCAGTTCATTCACAAAACACACGAGTTCAGAAACATATGCTGAGGTGAAATTTTCCCTCCATATTCTCTCTGTCTTTGAGATGTACCCACAGTGTTTTGCCTAATATGGTCACTGGGTACCACTGTTTCTTGCACACAGTTGTCAAAATACAGGCCTTCTCCAAGGCTATGTTGAATGTCGAGAGTGAGGCCACTCACACTGTCCTGCTGACAGTTTAAAAGATTTCCAGGGTGATATTGGAGATTTTATCCTTCCTAAGGTATAACTTCACTGGTATGGAGATAATGGAATTAAATCATCTTATTTTTCAATGAAAAGGTTGATTTCCGTGGTTGATGAAAAGCATGGTGATACTGTTGGAGACAGTGAGTTCGGTTTTACCTTTCATACATCAGCAGACAGTCTTTTTTTTTTTCGGCTTTATAATATATTCTTGGAAAACAGGTGATGTTTTCCCATTGTAACAGTGTAAGGGAGGGAAGGACAGTATGATCAGAGACCAACGGAATAACACTGACACCAACACCGAGTGATGCTCAATTTCTGTGACCGTGTAAGACAGGAAAAGGGAAGTCACAAAAATCATGGAGCCAGGAGGCATCTTTAGATGGAGGTTCGTGGCTCCACCACTTATGTGTTAACAGTACCCACTGTCTTTTCCAAAGACCCAGGTCAGTTCCCAGCACCGAAGTCATGCACCAAAGTCACAGCTGTCTGTAACTTCAGCTCCTAGGCAGCCATCACCCTCTTCTGGCCTCCGGAGACATTGTACACACGTGGGCGTACACACATCCACATAAATAAATAATAAAGTAAATCTTAGAAAATGATTGACTTCTAGTGATTCACATCTGTATAGACGTGACAAAGTCCTCTAGAAAGAGAGGCTTGTGTCAAGGATGAAGTGAGTGCCCTAGATGACATGACTTCTGTCCTTGCATGTTATCACACTGCTGAAAGTCCCACAAAGATGTTTCTCCCAGTTGTAAGCCCACATGAAGATATCACACTACTGTGGAGTTTATGTACCTGGATGCAATCAGTGCTCTCCCTCGCCAGACAGTAACTCACAAGCAGACACTAATTTTACCTTTGCCGTGACAAGAACTCTTGGTAAGATGTTTGGAGAGTGTGTTACTTTTGAAGGATCTAGAGAGCCCATGTAGAGCTGTTTCTCTATCCTTCCTCATTATCACTCAAGTCATCCCCAAAAGTGAGACCATGGGCAGCTTTGAGGAGTAAATGGGAAAAGGAAATAAAACGTGGGGCCCCGCTGGCATGTGTGTTGCCGTTTCAAGGCTGGTCCCAGCTAGAAGCGCGCGGCCCTGCAGCAGGCTGTCCACACCATCACCCGTCATTGGCTGCAGGCATGCTTGCCACAGACTTGACCCGCTGCCTAACGGTATTGTGGGCTGGTTAAGTGTTGTCAGTGAAGTCATGGCATGAGCAGGGGGAAGGTACTCACAGCTCCTTATTCCTCCAGAAATCGTCTCAGCTCTCGTGGAAAGTGCCTCATACAGAATCTACCAATTTCCTCATGTTGTAGAGAACAGAGTTCCAGTCCTTTCCTGTCTTTTATTCTTGCATTAGTTTGTCTGTGGCATGAGTGTCTTAAACATAGGGACCACGTCCATCTTTGAACTGCTCTTGCCACTGCTCTCATCAACCACTCTCCACTTCCAGATGTCACTAGAGAACAGAAGCATTTGCACCCAGCTGTGGGTCAAGGGTCATGCAATGCCCCCACTGCAAACAGCATCGAGAGTCTCTTTATTTTTCATACTGACGTGGCTAAGTCCTGCTCAGGCAGAAATGCATCCTGTCCTTACATTAGCTCACTAAAATTTACTGTTCACTTTGAGAATTTGGTTCAGTCTGTTTCTCCCCAGTGTGTCTGCTTTATAAACAGTTTCCCTGCATAGTTTTTGTAACTCATCTTATAATCAGAAAGCAATACACAAACCATATGTCTGTGTTATAATTTACACCTGTGAAGAAATGATTTTTAGTTTTATTCTTGTAAAACCCCTTTCTGTAGTCATGAACTAGGGTAGGTAAGTCGAGATAAAGTGGAAGGGCAGGATATTGCTCCCCAGACGCTCACCCTCACCCTTGTCTGTTCAGCTTGTCAGATACAGACCTTTGTCCTGTGCTCAGTATCTGGGTTTTCAGCAGTTTTCTCCAGTGCCAGGCCGGCTCTTGACCAGCCATCCTGAAGTCTCCATCATCGCTTCACTCTGTGAGGACAGAAAGGGCTGTTGAGATTATTCCTGATTATGAGGGGAAAATGTAGGAAGGTTCTGCCCAGTGGCTGTGCTGCTGGTCCGATAGACCTTCACAACAAGCAGTAATTACAGTTTTTCATTTTATCTGCATTGATTTAGACTTCAGGACATCATTCTCTCATGTTTGATAAGATTTACATGTGTGTATGTATATGATATATATGTGTATGCAGAATATATAAACCAGTGGTATAAAGAACACCCTATTTTCCAAAAGGCGTAAATTAAAAATACAGTCATAAGCATCTGAGGAGCATTTGGAGAGTCATTGCAGTAATTGCTGCGAAGGTTTGACTCTGAAGGGGTCTGTGAGGTAAAACCTTTACATGAGTTTTCAGAAACTGTTGAGGCTTCGCGTGGCAAGAACTAGTAATCCAAGCATGAGGAAGAGTCAGGCTTACACTCGGTCTGCGTCGGTGGCAGAGTAGGGTCTTAGTCATTCTCTTCCTGGAGCTACAAAGGGGCCATCTCTGAATGTGTTTGTTCATGCGTGCATTTGTGAACTACCTGAAAAACAACACCAAGGACCCTGGGAAAGAAAGGAGGGCACTTCTAAGAAAGAAGCCAGAGACTAGGGACACTCACTTCCACAGTGTCTTGTTCTGTCGATGAGCTTGAAGCACTAAACCCTGCTTTCTTCTCCCTTTAGCTGTGCAACAAGATTGTATTCCTGGTGAGTTTTGTGGGAAACCGAGGCACGTTCACCCGAGGTTACCGAGCAGTTATTCTGGACATGGCCTTTCTCTACCACGTGGCATATGTCCTGGTTTGCATGCTCGGCCTCTTCATCCACGAGTTCTTCTACAGCTTCCTGGTGAGTACAGCCTCACGGAGAAGCGCTGATCAACACACGATGGCGCCTCTTACACCGTAGCCTTTGGGGGGTAGTTTTGGCTTCTTAAAGCAGGGCACAAGTTAAGTTATTTCTGCAATTTCTTAAGAGAGGGGTGGGGTGTCGTTTTCAGTCTTTTCTCTGGGAAGTCATACGTGGTGGAGCTAAGCTCCTCACTGAGAAGCCGGCAACTTCCTGCCTCTTCCAGCTTCAGAAGCTGCTTCGGGTTTTCAGCCAAGTGATAATTAAATCCTTTAATTCATGATTATCTGGCTGCACGGGGACAAACAAGTATGCACTGCATTTCATTTATGTATCAAACGTTACATTAGTCATTATAGTGGCATGTGAGCAAAAGGAGAAGGAACAAAAGCCAACCTAGAAAAAAATCAAGCAGTTGACTACAGTCTCTTAGCCTATGTCACCAGCATCATTAACTTATGCCATCATGGTTAGCTTATGTCATCATTGTCAGCTATGTCATCATCATGGTTAGCCTATGTCATCATCCTCTCCCTACGTCATCATCATCGTTACCTTATGCCATCATTGTTCAGCCTGGCTGTGTATATTTAAATCCGTTGACAGTTTTCTCCAGATTGTTTTGTTTTTGTTCTGAGATGGCTTGCCTCACTCTGTAGCCCAGGCTGGCCTCTAGCTCACTATCCTCCTGCCTCAGCCTCCGTGGTGCTGGGGCAGCGCCTGTGCTTTACCATACACAACTGCACATCCTTGTTAAAGGTGCCCTCTTGCCATCCCAAGACGCCATTTCCTTTTCTCCATTTATGGTCTTACAGTTGTGAATGAGGACAGGAGCTAGTATACAAATGCAATGAAGTGCAAATCTGTGAGTAGGGTTTGAGTCCTGATACACTTGCCACAGTGCACAGGCAGAGGCTGGAGTTTCGGCTGTCACTCCTCACCCACCCCCTTAGTTAACACAGTTTCTTGTGTCATCACTGTTCACACCATCTGTTCTGGCCACTGTTAAGTTAGAATAAAATCCCCTCAGGTCAACCTAAGTGGTTAAAAAGGTGAAGAAGCCAGAACAGTGACAGTCGAGTGTGTTAATTCGTCCTTATTGAAGGATATTGACTTCATTTCTGACCCTAGCTGTACGTCCTAAGGGATGAACAGAGAACAAAGTAGCGATTGTTTAAAGAATGGCACTTGTCAAATGCCAGTGTCCTAAACTCAGGCTCAGCACAGCAGTGATTGGCTCGACCATGCTCACAGTGGGAAGTAACCTGTAACTCAATAGAAGAGGGAACACCACACCTAGCTGACCATGCCAGCCCAACCTCGGGCTCTAGAGCTGATCTCCAGAGAGCCGGGCTCCAATCCCAGGCTTTCAGGTTTGAGTACGGGATTCATTTGCAGACATTTGCAGACATTTTGAGAAATGATAACGAGTTTATTTCCTGTAGCCGACTCTCACACTAAAACATGCCCGTGCTAGTCCTTGACTTCAGGGTGATGCTGCAGCGGTGTATGAAGGGGTTCTCGGCGCTGGCTGCGGGTTCTCCGCCAGCGTGTAGAGCCCTGCTAGTGAGGGCAGGGTGATGACAGCGCCCTTTGGAGGAAGGGAATGCCAAAACTGCTAGTTTTTCTTCGGAGTTCTGTTTTCAAATGTTTCCTAACAGACTTTTATCCCCATTTCATATCCTTGTCGTAAGGAAGACAGTCTGCATTTCCCAAATATTTTAAGTTCAGACATTCCGCCCTCTCCCATGGCACCAGGCTCATAAATTGTTATCTTCCCTTAATTGAACAATAAATTTATTGAACTTGCCAACTGCCCATAAACTACATGGGCCTAATATTATAAATGTTCTAAATTCGAGTGAAAACGGATGCACAGTGCTGCGTCGTCACAGCAGCCGTGTGACGCTCTGACTGAAGGCAC